GCCGTACATTTCACTTTCAAACTTTTTAAAGGGCATAGTCGTGATCAGCTCGACGAGCTCTATTTAACCATGTATAATTCGATAGGATTCATTTTTGGCACGGACCTTTTGAATTAGCGGCACCTTATCTATTTTTGTATTTTTGTGTGTGGTAGCAGTATTGAAGGAGCGCACAGAAAAGAATTCAAGAATTTGTTGAAGTCCAGGAGGAGATGTTGTTGTATTGACATTTAAATCACCTGTTAAAACCAACGAGATATCGTTTTTAACATTTTGAAGTAGAAAATTGAAGAGATGACCGTAATAGATTTTCTTAGATTGAGGACGGCGATATAGATTACACAACACAAATGAGCATGCACTAATCTTAACCTCTATTAATATAGCCATAGCTTCTTTTGAATATGCGATTAGAGAGTGGTGAATGCTATTCTTAACATAAACAACTACTCCTTGAGAGTTACAAGAAAAATCATGTCGATCTAATTGAACTGCCCACCAGAAAAACCTTACCTTATATTTCAATTATCTTGTATTCCTCTATTGGTCTGTTGCTCTATTCCGCGATTATTTCTGTATTCCGCTGTCACAGCATTTCATTTTATAATAATTTTTATATAGATGTATACAAGAACTTCGTTTTCTTTTCACATTAATTTGATTATTTTTCCAAAGACAATTGCCCGCTATGTTTCACAAGATTATTCTTTTAGCAATCTATCGAAAACACATACTTAGAGTTTATTCTACTCTGATACTATTTAGACTACTGTGGGTCTACTCTTAAATTTTGTCCTTACTCAAGTGCATTTTTTATTTAGTGATTCTTTATATTGATCCGGGAGTAAGTCAAAATTTAAATTCTAATTTATTTTGGCTACTGCCTAAATCCGGCCGAAATTTAAGCCAATTAGTATAAAAGTAGACGCAATTTGGAAAGAGTAAATTTGTATGGTTCTGCGTTTCCAGATTGCGGCCACTTTTTATAAAAACAGAAGTAGAAAGATATATAAGAAGAATTGATGACTATATACGAACGCCAGAATACGAAGCAGCTCCCAGAACAAAATGATTAGTTTTGATTGAAAATCAGTGAAACATATCTTAATGACGACATATCGAGACGCCACGTTAAACCGCTATGAAAAAATTTATCGCGATATACCATGCGAAATGAAGTTATCGGTTTCTGTCCTCGATGAAATTTTTATCGAAAAAAAGATCTCCATTATTGCGATAAAGCATCTTATCGAGATAATAATCTGTCGGGATGGAAAGCGAAACCTTTATATCGGGCGATATGTCACGATAAAGTTCCGTGTGGCAGTCTAACGTGGCGGCTCCATAGATTTAATTCCTGTCGAGAACTGTGACGATTACTAATTTTATCGCTATATGGTCCGATACCGTGGTCGTGCTGCTACATAATAGAAAATTCTATCGCTGTTTTACAAGACGCAATGTTGTGGAAAACAGTACGATTATTGACTTTTCGATCAAGCTAAAGGCAGATGTGGTGAGAGATGTTAGAATAGTTGAGATAGACTGCGTATTAACTTAAGCATCAAACTTGACGGATCACATCTTATCGGTCTTATCTTCGGGGTGTGACCCGTCGAAGTCATAATGTAAGTCATCGTTGAATAAACAAAATATATCTGAAAGTAAGCAATAACTAAAAGTAACACTGTAAACAAAGAAAGTAAACAGAAAATCTGAGTTTTTTCAAAGAAAAACATCGCTAAAGGACTTCTAAATGCACTTCGCGCTGAAAAGACCAAGGAGTTTCGTTCCGTACTGGCTGTACAAAACTCGACTGATTTTTTTCAGTACAGCATATAACAAAGGAACTTTATAGAAAACCAGCTGAAGAAAATAAGTAAAAATTGCAAGTCGTTAAGTTATTGTTATCTTTTGAAAGGCGTCATCCACGTAAAATCCATTCACAAAAATTTATTTCGATCGGCATAGCATCTGACAGACTTGAGGTTTGAAGCGTTGTCTGAGGAAGAATATTCTCTTTCGATTTTAAAATTGTCACAAAGAAAATAGTGCATCTTCGAGACAAAAAAATAACTCGCTTCTGCTCCAGAAAATTGCTGTGTACGTACCAATGACAACAGTCAAATAGTAAGGGTGGTTCGATTAACTACAACAAAACAAAATAAACACGGGCAGAAAACACTCTTTGAGTGTTATTGTGTTATTCATCACTCGAAAGAAGTGAATAAAGTTGAATGAAACGCTCTTTGCACCCTTGCACAAAGTAAAGAAATGATTACTTGAATTGTATTGATCTACATCTCTTATATACGTTAAAAGAGAACGAAGGATAAACACAGTGGACGATAATATACCCACACTGTCGATCTATTTTTCTTCTTTCGACCGATATACGAAATAAAAAAAACATTATACAGACGAGGAAGACGAAAATATGAAGTCAGTGTATTTGATCCTAGCTTCGTGCAACGATTTATTTAAGCAAAAATGAAACGGAAATGCCACTAGGGTCGCCCACTGACTTCTTATCTCGCTATTACGCGGATAGATAGATAGATAGATTTATTTTACACAAAGGTAGGATATCACGAAAAAGTACCAAAAAGACTTAGGCATCCGGACACACCTCCTGATAATTATTAATTATTAATAATCAAATAGACGATAATTAACGATATTCACAGCCACAGTTCTCAAAGAGAAAAATAGGGATTCTTTTCTAAAAAAAAGATCAGTATCGTGTAAAAATTAGTACAAAAAATTAAAATGCTTCTTCTAATTGATGTGGGTTTAGTTCGCGAAGTTAGTGCCATATAAAATAAGTTTAGCGTGGGCACTCTCTCACCGAATATGCAAAAGACGAACATTTGATGATAATAGAAAATTTGTTCCTTTCTGATTTCATTCTTTATTTAAACCACAGTAGACGCGCGCAAACATTTAGATTCAAATACGAGATGAACTTTTTGAAATTCAGGATTTAGTATTCTTCGTAGTTTCTTCGTAGTCTTCTTCGCCTTCCCTTCTAAATGACACGTAGGATGGCGGATTCGGAACTTGATCGAAAATTATTGGTTCGACAATACTATCTCTTCCGCCAAGAACCTGCCATACTTCTTTTGTTGTTGCCAGTCGCCCATCATGAAGAAATTTAATGAGAACAAGCATAGAACTAGGACGATCTGGAGTCGATTCATCTTCGTAGAGGAAACGTACTTGAAAATCAACTGTGAAACAGCTGCCTTGTGATACCCAACTGTGCATGGGAGCTTCGTACTCTTGTCGCCAGATACCTCTGTTTACACTTGGATTCTGTGGAAAGACATTGTGTAGACGAAGGGGACCACCCAATCGAGCGCCGACGATATGTCCGATATCATCACGACTTGCTAGCTGACGTATAAGACGGACGCAAACTCTTCCTTCAGAGGTCACTGCTCTAGGCTCTCCATGTCCTAAATGTTCGCTACTGATCACAGCGCGTACATATGGAACTCGATTTGAACCAGACTCTAATTTATATTTAACAATACGTCTGCCATGCGCACGTTCGTAGGGAACATGAGTTGTATGTGTTGAGAGTGTACCAGTTAATGTCGCTCCTTTTAAAGGTTGATCAGCTGCATAGTCCTGACCGTCAATATACTTCCGATTTTCTCCGTACACACGAACACCCGATCGGCCCCTTCCTTCTTCTTCACCTTCTGTCTCTTCCTCGCTTTCTTCTTCGTCATCCGAACTGGTGTCCTGTTTTTGCTCCTCGTCCGAGCCACCATTATCTGCTTGTTGGTCTGAAAGAAAAAACGCCGAAAGGATATAATTTTATAATAACACGACTTATCCAACAGAAATTTTTTAGAAGTTTAATTGAGAAATAAAAGTCTTTCGTTCTGTACAGACAACTAGCAGCACATTTTCACCAGTTTTCAACAGCTAAAGACACTATATTTTTTCAACAAATTACATATTAACATGTATATATACTTTGTTGGAAAAGTGCATAAAACGCACTTAAAAAATTTTCCTGGACGAACTCGAAATTCATATTGTCGAAGTGAAAGATTTTTCCCTTATTAAGAAATCGTGCGGTTGATAGCAGAACTAATCAGATTCTTCTACTTTTTTCTCGCAGTCAATCATGCTTTTGTGGGAAATAATCCACAAGATTCGTTATGATAGTGAAAAATATCTATATTAGTGCCTTTAAGATTCTGCGTCGATATAACTTTTAATCGAATTCCTAAACCGGGGCAGATCGCTGAGAGTACCGAAAGCAATACAAAATCTGTTTCTTCATGTCATAGTTACAGTAAATACTTTGAGACTTATAAAGATAAAAGTTTCTCATAATCCCCCCCACAGAATAGAGGTCCATGTTGGATTCGAAGCCCGTCTCCAATCAAAAGCTCGTCCCTTCGCTGCTGAGCTTACGGACGTAATAGAAGCCCATACCAATTACTAATCTTTCCGAGGTATCTCTAACTTTACTTTTAATAACATTTTTTTTTCTAACGACGGCTATGTTTAAAATGCACTGACGCGGTCTCTAAAAATTCAGCGCTCTCATTCCGGCAGCCAAAGCATTATCTCATTACCTTGCAGAAATCTAAAATGCATTTGGCTTGCCCCGCACTCCACTCGCGAACCCTTTAAATAACTAAGACATCGATCGGGCATTTTCGGGGACTTTTTTGTGGCTTTTGACGATCTTTGCGTTTGAAATGTTTCCTAATTCGATCAGTCTTCTTTTAAAGCATTGAAAGAGACGCAATTTTCTCACACAATCAGAATATATACTACTAAACCCCCCCCC